CCCTTATCATTCATCTTAACATCATCACTACTACAGCAGTTTTCATATGACTTGTTTGCTTCCCTTATCATTCATCTTACTATCATCACTACTACAGCAGTTTTCATATGACTTGTTTGTTCTCCTTATCATGCATCTTACCAACATCACTACTACCATACAGCAGTTTTCTTATGACTGAGAAAAGCTCGCGGCAAGATCACGTCCATGACACGGCAAGGCATACACCAGTCCAATCACATCGCGCGAGAAAAAATATCAGTCAATCAAAGTTCTAGAAATTATCACGGTCAAGGGAAGGCACGTAAACGGCCCTGAGCTTTTCATAGTCATACGAAAAACACCAAACGTTGAATAGGGAAGGTGGTATTAAAGACTTTTAAAGACCTTAAAAACGAAACAGAAAATTACGATCAGTTTCATACGAAAACGAAAGCTGAGCAAGGGTGCTTATTCAAAATAAAGGTGGATAGCGCGAATTCAAGTCAAAACAAATACTCAATTTCCATACTTTTCTTCTATGAACGCATTTCATTGCTTTTATTGTGAGCTAATGACTGTCTGACCTAGTTTTCGTGCACTTGTTAGCCATTATGAGAACGGTGTATATGTGTGTAAAAGAAGTGATCAAATACAAATGTCTTCTCAGCATGCAGAACACGGCACGGTTACAGTACGGCATTTCCGCGAATATTTTCTGTGATATACTGTTACACATCACTGTTCATTATCGAAGTCCTCAATTTTCTCATTTATCGATTTGCATATTTCTAGGCTAAAGTTTCTTGCAGACCACGCTCGGCCACAGTCCTTTCGGCAGAGCATGCGTATATGTCCGAGGAAGACCTGGATTCTAAGTGTGTCGCGAGGGAACCTTTCTATTTTGTGCTGGACAAAAATGCTTGTCAGGTATGCCATGGCTATTTTGTGCGCGTATGAAATTCCAAATATGCTGACCTCTAAATTGCCAGCTCCATTTACATCTGTTTTTATATTTGCGCCACTCAAACAAGTTCGGACCGTAGGTTTCTGGTTTCTGGCAGTCGTGCTTAGTTATCAGGTCAGACTTTTGAGTTTCAAGGAATATGTGTGGTGTAGCGCTAGAGCACCCGTGTCTCACATCTAGGTCCTCGGGTTCGATCCTAAGCTCATCATCACGTGGACGTAGAGTTTGTTGGCTCTCTCCCCCTCTCCCTCTCTCCCTTTTCCATGATTGGAGGGTTTTCCTCTGGGTTCCCGGTTTTCCTCAATCTGCAAATCACCACAAGCTAAATTTCAACTTGCCCTGACAAGATTAAACCAGAGGTTGTTTGTGGAACGTGGATTGTCTAATTTTTGAAATATATCTTTTACGCCAGAAAACCTATTCTATTCACCGATCCCTCGCTTTACCTGAACCAATGTACGGTGTTTTAGAGCCTGAGACTCAGACCTCTCCAGAGGAACCTGGTGCCCAGTTCTGGAAACCAGCCGATACAGAAGAAGAATTGTATCAACAATTATCACGTGAGATCAAGAGAGATCAAATAGAGCTTGGAACAGAGAGACTCGGATCTGGGTAAGTAGAAACTATTGAAATAAAGATTCTGATGCAACGCAGTGCACTTTTTACGCGTAGCGAGATTTTCAAATTATGTCACAAGTAGCAACTCTTACTGAAATGCTATCCAATTCTGACCAGCGGTGCACCAAAATAATTACATTTAATTTGCTTTAAACATCACGTGATTGCGTGCAACGTTGCAGAAGTAGAATTCAATTTTACAACTGTATATTTGCGCCCAACAAACAGAGGTGGATAAATGCGCTGTTTCCTGGTAGCTTGTAACATTGCACACAACATTGTGCACAACATATTATTTTCAGATGTGGACAAAGGCGCTTTTATAATATAATAACAAAAAGTACTTTATGTTTCTCTGCAGGGCGTTTGGCCACGTGTTGCTTGGTGTCTGGCAAAAGGTAAGGATTTCTATTCATCAGATCGACTTATATCCCCGTCTTCCTTCTGGTTCTGTTTGCTATTTGATTGGATATTTAAATTGGAATGATGCGCTTAATTCTTCAAATTATGAAACGGCAAGGTCACGGCACTGCCAGACCAATCACATTCCGCGAGAAAAAGCAAAAACGGTCGTACAAAAACTGCATCGAATTAGCAAAACATTTTTTTTTTGTTTCCAATCGGTGTATTTTTTTTCGGTGGTGTCTCGTTTTTACTCCATATTGAGTATCTTATGTGGTTGTAGTCCCCAGGAATTCCAATCCAGGTTGCTGTCAAGATGCTGCGTGACTCTTCTCATCGAGAAAACAAAATTAAATTCCTTCAAGAAGCAGCCATCATGAGGCAATTCACGCACAAGAATGTAGTCTATATGTACGGAATTGCTGCAAATTCTGAACCGGTAAGTTACTCTTGGTTGGAAATTTAACCAGATTAGTTAAAGCTTTAAAGTATTATAACTCTTTGCGTTGCATTCCAATAGACACCTAAAGCCTGAGACAATACTTTCAGTACTGATTCTGTTTGAAGTGGTTAGTATCACAGGTTAAAAAAATTACACCAAATTCCTAGTATGACGTCACAGTCAAATTTCTAAACCTTTATAACTTAAAGACGCAACACTCAAATGAAAAAATATTTTACCATTCAACTATTCATGTGGAATCAATACAGAAAGTCTCAGGCTCTAGGTGCACTTTAAGCTTGGACATAATTTTTTCCCATTTCAGACCGCGTTTTCCCATCTCAGACTACTTTCTACCCAAATTCTTTACGCGACAAATTGGTACCCAACCTCACACTCGTTTCTGTCACGGGGAATTAAGTATTTTATGAAATTTGCTTTAATTACTTTTATTCAATATTGTTGTGCATGGTATTTTTCCTCAAGGTGATGATCGTTCTTGAATATATGAGCCTTGGAAATTTAAAGAACTATCTTCGTCGGTTAGATAACAAGTAAGTTTATAATAGGAGGTTTATTAGGATGGGGTCAGTTTTCGTGTGATTAAATAAGAAATAAGTTTATAATAGGAGTATCATTAGGATGGGGTCAGGGTTCGTGTGCAACTTCTCAAACTCCTTGAAAAGTGCTGACAGCTCGAACCCTGAAACAAACTCTGGGCTGATCTAAGTCAGAGCACGGTTAACTCACAGATCGAACCCTGAAACAACCTCTGGAGTGATCTATGTCAGGGCACAACTCACAGACAGAATTAAAATTAAGCTAGTTAGGTTTCGCGCAGGGAGGAAAACCGAAGAAAACTCTCGAACCAATAGAGGGAGCTATCAAACTCTACTCACATGTGATGCTGAATCCAGGAATAAAACCCTATACGCTAGAGGTGAGAGTCGAGTGCACCATTGGTATTTTGTAACTTCTATAATCCATGAAACGCTATTATTTGTTACCAGATATGGCGAGAATATCCTCTTACAGGAAGACACCAAGAGTCAGTTTCTGCGCATGGCACGTGATATTGCCGCTGGAATGCAGTATCTTCATAGCCTCGCTTTCGTTCATAGGGTTCGTATCCATGGTGATATTCTTAAAAAAAGGTTAAGGATATATACGAGGAACATAAATATTTATGTATATATGCTCTCTTGATATATATTGATTGAGAGTGCCATCACATCGTAATGATGATGATGGTAATGAGTGATTATAATGCTGGTAAATGATACGATGGTAATCATGATGATACAGGTGGTGATATATTGATGATGATGGGGGTGATGGCCGAGAGTATGTCTTAGTAGACTGTCCATTCTTTTTTTCATCTTAGGATCTAGCTGCGAGAAATATCCTCCTAGACTCCGACATGACATGCAAGGTAAGACTTCATTGCTGTTGAAGATACTTTCCTTGTTCGGGGTGGCCTTGTTCCTTGTTGAACTCACTCTCAATACGTTAATAATAATAACATCAATAAATAATAATGGGATTAACAGTGGATTCCACAGAGTGGCTCTTCTTCCACTGGATTCCAATTGGAATCTAGAAATTGATTTTTGATGGCGTGCATACCTTCCCATGAAAATGAAAGAACATAAGACGTGGCCGCCATCTTGGTTAACGCGACAAATACATCTTATCAAAATCTTTTGTCAAAGTCAACCAAAATAGTGGTTATGACGTCACTTGCACAGACAATGAAAATACTCAGACATGGTCCCGTCACGGTCACGGAACGGCCGTGTCGTAGTTAATACAAGATATACTGTCATACGAAATGCTCTGTTAAGCTATTTAGATACATATCAAGTATGGTGGTCTGTGAAGGCACCATGGCTAATTCAGTACTTTTTATATTCAGATTGGGGATTTTGGTATGTCACGTGATCTAGTAGAAGGCGATTATTACACGAGTCGTGGAGGACGGATACCAGTTAAATGGACCGCTCCTGAGGTATAGTGACACTATTATAGGCGGCGGAGCCCGGGGAGGGGGGTGGGGAGGGGTGGTTAGTTTGCGTGGCTTCAGCTCTTTCCTACGACAACAAACCTGTGGCTCTCCTTTAATAATCAAATACACTACTTTGCTAATGGAAATTTTCTCTCGTTCCAGTTTACTCAGGGGGCAAAATATCAGAAATTTGTTGAATCAATGAGACAAGTTGTTTCAAAACCCCCTGAGTAAACTGCAACGAGAGAAAATTTCGATAAGCAAAGTAGTGTATTAGGACTGATTTAAAAGTKGATTATTGCTGAGGGAGAAAAACCGAAGAAAACCTTCAAATTAAGGAAGAGAGTTAACAAACTCTACTGACATGTGATGCCAAGTGCAGGAAACAAACCTTAGCGAGCCCCCAGAGGTGCGCATTAGCAGCACACATCACCCGTGCTTGCAAGTAATGATCTTTATTAGCCAAAAATCGCTCACAACCTTTACGACCAATCAAAACATTGTTGCCAATAGTAATAAAATCACTTTTTCTACACAGGCTATTAACTATGGAAAATATTCAAGTTCGAGTGATGTTTGGAGTTACGGGATTGTTCTATACGAGATTTGGTCTTTAGGCCACAAGCCGTACGAGAATCTTGATAACAATGAGGTAAGGAAGTAAAAGATAAGAAGAACTCGTAAATATCATATTTGTTCTTAATGGGCTACCTGTGTTGCAGGTTATCGAGGCTGTGTCACGTGGTTATCGTCTTCCCCCTTCATTACATTGTCCCTCCATGTTGTACCGTCTGATGGTAGACTGCTGGTGAGTGAAACTCTTTGATTGAACTATGAATAGTGACACTCACTCTTGCTTTTGTCGGTTTCGATAGGTTCTAGTTGATCAGGGTGATCTAAGATTACATTTAATAATAATAATAATGAAAATAATGAAAATAATAATAATAATAATTACTATTACTATTATTCTCTTTTACTCCGACGAAGGACTAGCGTCCCAAACGTCAGTACGTTTTTTCATCTTTTCACGGTGTAAAATTTACCCTTTTATCATTACTGTTTCATTAGAAACACCGACGCAGCTCACACTAGTTTTTAGCTAGTTATCTTTTAGTTATAATAATAATGGGAGGTTCTTATATAGCGCATTTATACAATGTCTCAACTGTATTGCTCTTCTGGTGAATGACGATTAGCCTTGTTCTTATGTTCATCAGCACACCTTTTCCACCTTCCTCCAGAAATATAAATATTTTGTATACGAAATTTCCCCTGGTAGATAAGACCTCTGGGGTCTTTCGCTTGATTTGAGTGTTTACGCAACCAAGAGGTTTCAGGGTAGAAATAAGACTGAAGGTCTTTCCCTTGATATTAGCAAGTGCTCTAACACGTCTTATACACATATTAATTAAACCTACTGCTTTGTCTTCTCTCTTAGGCATCCTGAAAGTCAGTATCGACCTAGATCATACCAGATATATCACTGTCTATGTTTCAGCCACCAGAGCGTCTTTTTAGATGACTCTTTATGCATAAAACAAAGATCACAGTCTGAAGGACCATCTGTAGATACACCAACTTATATGGACCTTAAATATGTATATGCAGTCACAGAATGAACTATAGATGCAAGTTCATGAGATAGAATTATGACGCTTCATGCATCAAGGATCAAAGTACGAAGGACCATCTGTAAATGCATTAACCTATAAAGACCGACCTTACATATGTATACGCAGTCACAGAATGAACTATAGATGCAAGTTCATGAGATAAAATTATGACACTTCATGCATCAAGGATCAAAGTACGAAGGACAATCTGTAGATGCATCAACCTATATAGACCGACCTTACATATGTATATGCAGTCGAAGAGTTAGATATAGACACATCTACAAGTCAATGCAACACACTGATTCTGACCCCTCGAGCATCAAACGAGGATTCCAAGTTCGAAGCATCATATATGTACAGATACATCAACACTGTCCCAGATAAACATGCAGTCACGTGCAAGTTGATTAGATGGAAATCTTGAAGATTATCAATGGCATTCGAATCTCAATATGATCCTGCCTGTCAATGCGCGTACGAAACCCCGACTGTAAATCTGAGCCTAGCCTGTTATCTGGACTTAAGATGAATCTAGCCGAGCTCATTTTCGTGTTGGTCTTTGACCTACCACCTCCCGCACGATAGACCGCTGTTCAAACAGATACGAGCGGGATGACTGCATGTTTATGTTTCTCCGGTGTCGCCGGACTTTAGGTTCACAATGCAACAGTATAAGGTTGTGTTTAGTTATGGAAACCTTAATAATTTCATAGTTTCCAGTTGACTATTTTTCTTGAGAATAACCAGCCCGGGAAGAAGGAGTAATATACTATGATAGACCTGGATCTGGTTGGTCACAGATACTACTTTCAAGCAAGTGATTGAGAAAGCTTTGAAAATTGGAATTTTTTGTTCACTTAGCAACCAATAGAGGTTTTGCACCATCACGTGCCCACGCCTATGATACAGCGTGGACTGCCTTTGGTCGTCAATACAGACTTTGCACCACCATGGCACCCATGACAGGAGGCATAAACATTTGAATTTGGACTAATCTGATTTACACCAGACAGAATTCAGAGGAAAATACTGTATCGTTGTGCCTACTGTCACGGCTGCCATCGCGTGATGGTGCAAAGCCTTTATTCCTTACCATTTTCTGAGCAAATGAAATTGAAAGCGATAAATATTTTATGGACGTCATCAAAGTGGGTGAAAAAACCGTTCTTTTTTATTACCGTTACAAAAAATAGATTCTTCTGTAGTCACACGACAGCCTTCACCACAGAGCCCATCGTGAGTCGAACTTGCTCGAAACGTATTTTATTCCGTCATTAGGAAGGAAGTGACAGTTTTCTTTTGAAAACAAAAGCAATTGGATTTCTCGGATTGTACACAATTTTCCGTAATAGCTTTCGATTAAAAAAAAAAAAAGAATTGTTGATGAATAATTTTAGAACTAACAAAGGTCTACGTACGTACGTTTCCTACAGAGTACGAAAGATTGAATTTATAAAGAATTCTCATTATCACAAACCGACAAAAGAGAATACCTAGAAACTAAACCAAACTCGCAACATCAGCTGGACAAGCTGTCGGATAAGTTTTGATTGGTTGCCATGGATATGCGCCTATAGGTTCTTTCTCTAGTTTATTTTTATCCGATTATGAGAAAAATTTCAAGTGAAGAAAAAATATTTTTATCAGTACGAGGAGAGAGTTGAAAAACCAGTTTGTTATATAATCAAAGAAAAATCGAAAATCGGGCATCTATGATCGATATTTTGAAGGTAAATATGATGAATGAAATTGTGGGGTTTGGACACTTCAGTGACACATTGAAGTACAATTATTGGATATATATAATAATACTAAGCAACTACATGGAACAGATGAAGTACAGCCTGTCAAGTGTTTTGGGAGAAGAAAAACTAATTACTTCTTCAGTAACCTTAGGTCTCACGGATTATAAGAGTAGAGAGTTTTAGATTGACTTTTTTTTCTCCCCGCAAACGGCAAACGTGACCACGTTTTCATAGTTTTCCTGTATTTTACTTTACTATTTACAAACCTTCTCACCAAGCGCAAATACTCTTTTGTTTTTCTACCACTTCGACTTTTTTGCGATTCTTTTTCAGTCATTTAAAAGAATTTTTTACTGGTCATCTGACGTTACACGTTTGCCGTGAACGTAAATCTAAAACTCTCTAGTTATTCAGCATTTACCTCAGGAAGTATGCGCAACCGCGTCGTGTGCCAGTCAGTTTATTTACAACTAGGATAACTTAGCGTCATTTTTGAACTTTTCTAGGCTTAGCAAGGATTTTGGTTTTGTTGCTAGTACAAACAGCTAGCTTAAAACAGAAGCCAAGCCACTCAAACTCTACTCTTCTTAATCTTTAAGAAATTTATTTTACTATAAAATAGTCGCGTCTTTGTGCCTCGCAATTCCATCATTGACTTCTTAAAGTCGCTGAGAATTTCAATATTTCATTTTTTCCTTTCAATACATTGTTACTGCGTTTGCGTGGTTACGCAAACAACGTAGCCCAAGATGTATAAGTTATTGTTTTCCGTCAATCGAAACCAGACCGTTGGTAATTTAATTGACTCAAGCCAAAAATCAAGATGTTTTGAATTATGAATGGATCATTAGAAGGAATTTATTTTGGACGTCGATAATTTTTCGTAACACATGCACCTCGATTTCCTCGATATTCCATTTCTGATATAAAGCGGGGTTGGGCAATATTTTTTTCGTAGGTAAAGTGCTGGTCGATATGTTTTGAGGGGGAGGGGGGATTGGGTAAGGTATCCCCCCCCCCCCCACTCAATTATCTAATGGTCCATCCCTTTGATGTGGTTGTCGAAGAATGTAAATCCCCAATTATGACGGTCTGCAAATTGGAGACCAGAACATTCCAGACCATTGTTGAAATTGGTCGAGCCGTTATCAAGAGTGTAAGGACTTGGTATGACTACGCTCTTGTTTTCAGTTGCCTTAGCGACTCTCGTGTATTTAATGATAAAAGTCTGCTGCGTTACCGAGAGAGCAACTTTGCTATTTATGGTCTTACACCCCCGCTACACGCAAACCGAGGGTCTCTAACCTTCACAGAAAGTACAAGTCCTCGCAACCAGTCAATCTAGGTTTTACTCTTTGTTAGCGTGAAAAGGTTGATATAGAACACTGAGCAGACTAATTAAGCTCGATAATATCTAAAACGAAAAAAACACGCGCTAGTCTTTCATTTTTAACCGATTGGAGTCATGAATATTTCAACGTTTTAACATTTGTGATCCAGGTTTCTGTATACTAACTCCTCTCTATCTTTTCTCAGTGGGGATGCGTCTCTTCATTCCTCATTGCCAAACGATTGAATAGTTCCCTTTTTTAAAATAAAAATCATAAAACAAAAAACAAAAAAAATCAACACTGATTGGAAACCTTATTATCTCCTACGGGACACCCGCAAGTTCTGGATAAGGCTGTAATGGAAACTCCAAATATGGAGTGGTCCCGCGGGTGAAGGAAGAGAAACGTCACGCGCTGAGCGGAGCTAGAGAGGCGAACGGTGCGGAATGATTTGATCGAAAAACGACTTGTTTCAGATTTTATCGCCATTTTATAAATATTTTAGACGAAAAAGTACAGCAACTGAAACGTGGTTGAGGCATGAGGGTAAAGAAACGCCTGGATACTCAAGGTTTGTTAGTGTTCGACACGTTTGACTGGGTTATTGGTGTTGTTTTACGATGAGACTCGAGGATAAGTTGTTGTTGTTAGATTTTCGTCTTTTCGTTCAGTCTACACTCCTTTATATGTTTACTTTTTGACAGTAAGTCCCTCGAAATGACAAGAACATTAATTGACAGAGCTGGTTGTGTCTTATTTTCAGGAGAAAGCCATGATACCAAGGGTTTTGGTTACTGATAACACATTCAAGCGAAGAAAATAAATAGGCTAAGCTTAAAAAAATATGGAGAAATACGAGAAACTTGGTAAAATTGGCGAAGGATCTTATGGAGTGGTCTTCAAATGCAGAAACAGGGAGACAGGACAAATTGTAGCAATCAAGAAATTTGTTGAATCTGAAGAAGATCCATTGATAAAGAAGATAGCCATGCGAGAAGTGCGGATGTTGAAGGTAAAGAGCTTCGAAAATTGTCACTTTTCTCTAGCTGTTTTCTTTATTTGTTTTTAATACACTTTCAACTCGAGTCTTAGTTTATAGAATTTTATACTTTATCTCTTAGTCCTTTTTTCCCTTAGCTTTTGAGCTTCTAAAGAGAAGTGTTTTACTTGTTCGGCCTTATTTAGGGACACAATTTTTTAGAGAGTTTGTTGTTCAGCGTGTTCTTCAATTGTGTGCTTTGTATTCTCTCAATTTATCGTGTAATCAAGAAGATTGATAATTATTTCTCCTTATAATTTAAATCTTTGCTTTTTGGAGACCAAAAGAACGGTATTTTAGGTTCTCTTGTACTTTATTTTTGAGGTATTTTCTTCGTTATTTCGTAGTTCATCGAATATTCCAGAGTTCAGATCCGTTGCTATGTCATTGTTTTGACCCGTTACCAACATCGAGTCAAAATTTTAACTCTCAAAAAGATACATGTACTTTCCAATATTAACTGATAACCACTTTTCGTCAAAAATAAACGTTTCAAACTCTTCGATCGCAGTGAAATTTGTTTTTGAGATACCTTGGTATGCAATCAAAGCAAATATTTTCTTTTTAATAAAAAAAATGTTGGTGTTTTTTTCAAATATTTTTGCTTGATCAATGTTAATAAAACATTGCGACACGACAAAAGATTTTGCTCTCACCACATAATTATTTTCAAAGATATTAATTACTAACGTATATTTCCCCAAAAAATTCCAAAAAACACTTAACTTATAGAAGTATGATTTCACTTCAATCCATTTTTACTGAAATGAATTTCCTGATGTAGTGAAAGGTTTTCCTGCATATTCAAGTTTAGAAATTTATTTTAAAAATTCCGAGTCTCGAACGGGATTTGAACCCGTGTTTGGAAAGTTTTTTTTGTCCATAATAGCATTTATTTTGAGTATGCTCCAATCAAACATAGATCTAAATGTACTTGATGCCAGGTACTGCATAAATTAAGCACACCCTAACAAACGGAGTCCACGCGTGGAGCCCGTCCATCTCCTGCGAGTAGCGACCCTGAAAAACTCCTGGCCTGTACTGTACAGAGAATGGAGGCAATAAACCATATTAATGATGGTAACTGAACTGAGTGAAGTGCAATTTGGTCTGAAATTAACCGGCCAACCCAGGTTTTGCTTATCAAAACATTGGAATGACGTCATCACGATGAGCTCACTCACTGAATTCATGCATAGAAAGGATGCACATGAACAATACCCATGAACGTCCTTAATCGTTGGCAGCACTTATATCAGTCGAGGGCAATGCCTAATCAAGTAAATGTTATAGTTATTTTCTTAACTTTTTTTTCATTTTCTTTCAGCAACTTAAAAACAGTAATCTTGTAAATCTACTAGAAGTCTTTAGAAGAAAACGAAAACTACACTTGGTGTTTGAATATTGTGATCATACTGTACTCAATGAATTGGATGCACATCCTAAGGGGTGAGTTGGCTTAAGGCGCAATTACACGCAGTAATTTTCTCTGCTACTTGTCTTGCAAAAGCGTTGCAAGAGTGTCTACAGTACATGGTGCAATGGAGATGCAGTTGATGTGAAAAGTAGTCATGAAATCTACTTTTCACAACGATTGCTGCAACTTGTCTTGCAACATTTTTCAAATTGCACTGTACTTTACACGTTGCAATGCTCCATGCAACTCATGTCGCAACACCGTGTTGCAGGGAAAATTGCTCCATGTAATGGTGCCTTTAATCTCATTCTTTCTTCAATTTTTTAATACCTCTCTGGTTGGCTAAAAAGCAGTGCAGTATGATTTAAAGTTCAATCTAAAGGTTAATACTCTGTCATACAGGGTTAGCCTTGATTGCGTATAGAATTATTTTGAATATTAACGTGTTCTAATGACGGTCCCTTGAACTTTAAAGTGTTTTTATCATTGAAGTTGTCCATTCTTTACTTTATTGATGGGATTTGTGAATATTTAGACACTGATTCCAGTTTAACCCTGTATGAACGAGTCTGCAATTGAGGAATACAGCAATATTTGGCTAATTCAAAAAGGATCCTTTTGGATTTTTTTTATATATCACTAGTGTCTTCAGCAGGTGTAATTAAAGTCATGATTTACATCTGATGAACATTTTTTTCCTTAGTGTTCAGGAGACAATGGTCAAAAGAATTATTTGGCAAACTTTGCAAGCTGTCCATTTTTGTCATCAAAATAATGTAAGTACTTCTTGCAACAAAAATGGCAAAATTAATGTAGTTGACTTTATGGTTCTGACTCTCCTCTGTTACCATTGCTATCCCAGTGCTCAAGCTGGAATTATCTCAGAATTAAAAACTGATCACAAGAATACAGTGATGTTCATTTTGACATCATTTTATTTATAAACTGAGAATATCATACACTGTATGTTAAGAGGTTGGCATTGTTTCTATTTATATTCATTAGTTAATTGCAAACGAGCAAGTCCAGGAAGTGCTCTGTTTAGTCAAATAAAAGCAAATGAATATGATAGACTAAATACACACTATTTTACAGTTAAATAAAATCACTCTATCTGATTCATGATTCCAACTTGGAAAATAATGAATCAATCACTGTTGCAGCAGTTTTTAAAGTGGAATTAACACAAACAACACAAATTAGAATTTCAACAATTCTGCCACCCTCTGCGTATAAATTCATGCAATGAACTACTGACTCTCATGTACAGGAGGCAAGAGAGTTCGACTTGGGGCAAGTCTAACAACGGACATTCAGTACAGTATCTGTTTTAAAGAGTACTACAAGGATTATGAGGCAATTTTATTTTATTTTCACAGTAGAGTAAACTTTATTTGTCTATATTTATTTTGCTCCAATTATTGAAGCAAAGTTTGATCAATTTTCTGAGTTTAAAATTCTGACTAAGAATTAAAAACAGATTTAATGTTAATAATTTAAACTTAAGGACTTAAGACTTAAGAATATCTTGGAGATCATCATTCTTGTTATTGTTATTATTTTTGAGCAGTTTTGGGAGATAGCGATGGTAACTAACGGGAGTAAGAACCATGAATTTCCAAAGCTTTACAGTATTTCAAATTTCATAATTATTTATGGTTTAGTACATATTGCTTAAGTTATAATATAATCAGATTCATTTCACTAACGATGCTTATTTTTGTTGATGACAGTGTATCCATAGAGATGTCAAACCAGAGAATATCCTGATCACAAGACAAGGAATAATCAAACTATGTGATTTTGGATTTGCAAGAATTCTTTGTAAGTTATACTCAGCAGCTTGATCATAATACATGACTTCGTAAAGACATATAGTTATTTCTCATGGGGGGTGTGTGTGTGGGGGGGAGGGGTAGGAAACTGTTTTACTTGGCTATTTCGTGGGCAATGAAGTGGATATATTTGTAGTGTTGCAAACTTGCCTTTATGGTCTGGTCATTAATAACACACGTGGATAATACTCCCATTTTGAGTTTGCCTTTGCTCAGTCCTATAATGGTTTGCAAATGTGTTCTTTTTTTTAAAGGCCCATTTTATAGTTAATATTTCAAGTTGTTTAAAATTCCACAAGTTTCGTTTTAATGGCCGAATATTTTATCACACAACTGAGGCTAAGGCTGAGCAAAAGAGAAGTCGAAACTGGAGTATTGTAAAAATAGATTTTTAGTTTTGTTTTTCATTGTTGATTGCTGTATTTTCTCTAAAACTTATTTTTCTATTCTGTATTTTGTTTTTCAGCTCCTGGTGATGAATACACTGACTATGTTGCCACTCGGTGGTATCGCGCACCTGAACTGCTTGTTGGAGATACCCAGTATGGTTTTCCAGTAGATGTATGGGCCATTGGATGTGTTTTTGCCGAGCTGTTAAGTGGTCAGCCTCTGTGGCCTGGAAGATCTGATGTTGATCAGCTTTACCTTATAAAGAAAACTTTAGGTATGTTGCATCCATGTTTACCTTTACCATTCTGCATGCTTGTTACTGTAGGAATCATTGAGGCTGGTGTAGCAGTACATGTAGTACCTACTGTACTGTATGTACGTTATATTATCGGAAATTGTTTATTTCCTGAACTTGGCATCATATAATTGAGAGTTTTTCTATGTTTGTCTCTTGATTTGAGGGTAAAACGGAACACTCTACTTTCTCATTTTATGGGAATCACTTCTATATGTAACATATATAGCAGTAAGAGTGCTATACCCTCTCACCAAGGCTACTCAGGTTCAATTTCTGGACTCAGTGCTGTATGCAAATACAGTTGCTTATTGGTTCTCTCCTGTAATTCGAGGAATTTTCTCCAGGTTCTCCTGTTTTTCTCTTCCACGAAAATCAACTTCTAAATTCCAATTGGAAGAGCCACTCTGTGGAAATGTCATAAACCCTTTTTTTTTCAGTACCACTACACCACCCTTTATTTCCTTGCACCCATCACTTTTTGTAGTGCTTCTTTTTGCTATTTCATGGATTGTAAATAGAAAAATATGTATTTTTCCCTCCCATCATTTAGGTGACCTTATCCCAAGACACATGCAAGTTTTTAGTGCAAATCAATTCTTCAAAGGGTTACAAATACCAAAGCCAACCACAAGGGTAAGGCCTAAGAACTTACTACAAAATTTCTGATGTTAATACCAAGTCTGGCTGAATTTTTCATTCAAATTTAAAACAGTGTACATCCATTTTTTTACATCGGACTAGAATACCGAAGACGTGGGTTCAATTCCTGCCAAGGGCATTTGTTATTTTTCTTTTATTCTCTTTATTTCATTACACAAACTGAATGCATAATTTATTACTACTATACTGTGTACATCCATATTTATCTCAAATATAATACTCTAGTTGTGTTAATAATATAATTAAATTGTCACAGTGTGGACCCACTAACTGGGATCACTTGAACAAAATTTAAAATTTTATTTTGCATATGATTATAATCATGCATGGATATGGTTGAAATATAGAAACTTAAATTTGACATGTCTTTAGCTTGGTGTAATGTTTTCACATTTAAGACCATGTGTCATTTTCCAGAGTATGACTTCTTTGTTTAATGATTGTACAATTAGAAGACACGTGAATATGGATACAACTCAAACAAAGTTCTAATCTTGCATTCTCAAGACCATGTGTTATAGCCTAGAGTATAATTTCTTTGTTTATAATGGTTGTCTATGAGAAGACACATGAATATGGATACAACTCAAACAAAGAATCTTATTCTCAAGACCATGTGTCATTTCCTAGAGTATCATTTTTTTGTTTAACTGTTATGCATGAGACAGACACATGAATATGGAATACAACTCAAACAAAGTATCTTAATTGTTCTCAAGAGAATGACACATGGTCTGAAATGGGAAAAAAATTACACCCCAAACTAAAGAGGTCTATTGTTTAATGTTTCTTGCAGAAAAAAAGAACTGCAGCTTGAGTCCTTAAAATTAATGTTGAAATCTGTGTAATTACAAGAACATTGCAGTAATGAACTTTTTTTGTTATTCTACAGGAACCTTTAGAAACCAAGTATCCTAGCATTTCACCTCAAGCCCTAAGTTTTTTAAAGGTATTTGTAATTTATTCCTTGTTTACAGTATCGTAATATCTATTATGATTTTAATTTTTAAACATCTTCAGGAGTTAATTCACATGATCATGTCCAAGGGAATTACTGTCTGTTTGGTTTTACTTGTGGGTCATTCGCCCCCTCCCCCACCCTCCTGGGAAAAGGTTTTCATTAAGTTTTTAAATAATAGGAGAAGATCATGAACTAGACGGAGAGTCCTGGCAGGGTTTAGAGGATGATTTCAGTGGGTGGCTTGCTGTTACCTAAAAAGCCAGCATATGGCTTCCTCTTAATTCTTAATTTCAAAACTTAAATCTATACCCCTTGGATCCACCCATGACTGTATAATTGCCAGCAAGTTGGTGCAGTTGAGCTGTGGACTTCTGTATGCGAGGTCAAAGTGCTGTCTTTGTGTATAATAATATCTACAAATGATTAGAGTTAAAAGTAGCTTGGATGACCTTTTTAAATTGTGGTCCCCTCTCTCCACACTTTATCATTACCATAGAGGCTTTGCAGCATCACGTGATGGCAGCCATGACAGGAGGCAGGAACAATTGATTCTGGTCAACTAATTTAATTTACATGTCCTGAGAAAGAATTCAGTTAACCAAGGGAGAACGACTCTGTTGCTGTGCCTCCTGTCATGGCTGCCATCATGTGACGGTGCAATGCCTCTATTACAATATTGGAGGGGAATAGAAGAACCATATTTGAGGATGCAAAGAAACCCTGCCAGCAACCACCCTAATAGTTCCTACACCTCATCACGTGATGGTGCAAAGCCTCTATACAATATCAGAGGGGAATAAAAGAACCATATTTGAGGATGCAAAGAAACCCTGGCAGTGACCACCCTAATAGTTCCTACACCTCATACTAACCATCTCAAGTGCATTTGATGATGTATACATACTGTAGAAATAGGAAACAGCGCTATATAAATCATTTCATTTAAATTTTTTCATGTAATATCATTATATAATTCATTATTATTAACCCATGATGTCTGTCGTCTTGCTTATACCTAATGCTTTATTCATTTAAAGTGTTTAGCCATTAAATCCTTTTATTTTAACATGATTTTAGGGATGCCTAGTTTTGGAGCCAAGCAATAGGCTAACCTGTGCTGAGCTGCTAGAACATTCATATTTTGACAGTTTTCGAGAACAAATTGTTCCAGAAATAAATGCAATAATAGCAAAAAGTCAACAAACACAGTCCATACCAAAAACCAAAAAGAACAAGGTAAGGGTGCATTTAATATCTACATCTAGGAAGGAATTTTCTAGTATGAGAATAAAGCACTTATGATTTGCTATGCTGTAACGTTGCTACACTGTAAAGGTCTTTGCATCTTAGGCTGCGTTTACATGGTACTGGACAAATTTTTAACTGGTCAAAAAGTTGTATGCTTAGGGGATTTTGTTCAAAAATTTATCTGGTTCCATGTCATGTAAAGAGATGACACATATTGGTTATACAATTAGGGTCGTCCTAAAACAATGACCTTTCCCCAACCCCGCCCCTAAACCTAACCAATCACACGGGACATTGCAAATTTGTGAAACCTTAATCCTACAATCTAAAGAGATTTTTCCTATGAATGCTAGGTACAGGACAATTTTTTGACTGGTTAAAGGTTGTCTGCTACTGGGTAAACGTAGCCTTAATATTTGCTCCAAATGTTGGTCAAACACTCAAACACCAGTCAGCCAGTAAAAGAACTGACTTCAAGAACACCCTAGCCTGGAAAACATGTCTGGTGTTGGCCTATGGTGTCCCCTGTCCCAAAAGGACTGTCTCTACCATCCCTTGGGGATCCCCAAGACATCCCCTGTCTTTCCCCTTGTCCCCTTTTTATCCTTTAAAATACCAGTGTCTCTCCTATCCCCATGTTCCCTGGGGATCCCCTCAGACATCCCTTGGCAGTCCTTTGTCCCTGGCCTACCATCATCACTACTAGTGTCTCTAGACATCCCCTGTGTATCCCCCCTGTGCCTGGCTTATCCTCATGACTAATAGTGTCTCCCCTTGTCCCCTGGGGATCCCCAAAAACAAACGTTCTTTTGCTTCCCTACTGCTTCCAACAAAGAGAGAAAAGTATTTTCTTAGGTAAAGGACATGAATCCAAACAATATGCCTTTTGTATCAACAAATGTGAAACCCTCTGTATGATATGTATAAATAGCCATAAAGAATTTTCTTTTATTGCACAGACTCGTTCACGTCTTCCACAATTTGAAAGCGATCAGCAACAAATGTCAAGACACTTGCCACAGCTAGCTGTAGCACCGAATGAGTGTCTTTCTCCTGCCCCAGATAAACAAGGTGTGGTATTACAGTGATTGTTGTTCATATTTCCAAATATTATTGCATGCTAAGACAACCTCTGGGCTGATCTACACGTAAGTCAGGGCTTGACTAACTCACGGATTGAACCCTGACACAACCTCTGGGCTGATCTAAGTCAGGGCATGGCTAACTCACAGATCGAACCCTGAAACAACCTCTGGGCGGATCTAACTCAGGGCATGGTTAACTCACAGATCAAACCCTGAAACACCCTCTGGGCTGATCTAACGCTGGGCATGGCTAACTCACAGATCAAACCCTGAAACATCTTCTGGGCTTACCCATCCCCCCCCCTTCTCTTTTAAAAAGACGAACTACCTAAAACTGCATTAATTTTGTGTTTCACTATTTAATATTATGATTGTTCGATTGCAGATAAATCCAAAGAAAAGGACAAAATGAAACAAAGTAAACTAGATCACTTGCCATCCATTCAACCCAATGGAATTTAAAGGTGAATTATTCACTCTCGAACTAAAGCTGATCATAAATTTCCTTCTTTAGTGGCGAAACTTTCCACCAAGGAATGCTATTACTGTTCAAAAAATAATAACCTTTTCGTCCATTTACCATTTGATTTCACAAACTCTTTTTGAATGAGTTTTCAAATTTTTTTCCTGGTTAGACTTTTTTCTGTGGTGGCTGACAAATTGTATAAGAAGAAAACTAGCAAGAAAATAGTGGTACAGAATGCTAGGCAATGAGACGAAAAATAGTCCATCGATTACCAATTGAAAATACGATTTAAGTATAATCGATTTTTTTGTTGTTGAAAATTGAAAATATTTGTTCATAGAATTATTTTAGTTACTCTTGGTAGGGGATTTAGCATGATTAAGACATAAGTTCTCTTTGCCTTGCATTCCAATAGACCTCTAGATTGGGAATAATGTTATCCCATATCAGAACACTAGTCATTCCCTAGAGTATCATTTCATTGTTTGACGATTGTATATGAGAAGACACATGAATATGGATACAACTCAAACAGAGAATCTTCTCAAGAGAATGACACGTGGTCTGAAATGGGAAAGCATTACCCCAAGCTAGACAGTCCAGAGCGACTTATAGCAAATAACAAACCGAAAACTTTTCTGGTTTTACATCGATTACCATTACCAGGTACATACTAATAAGATGGAGTACTTATCAAAAAAACGCCTTTTTACCTTGGGCCTAATATTTGCCAATTTCAGACCATATGTCATTCTATAGAGTACTATTTCTTTGTTTAACGGTTAGGCATGAGAAAATACAAAACATGGATTCTACTCAAACAAAGAATCTTATTCTCGAGAGTATGAAACGTGGTCTGGAATGGGAAGAATTTAGGCCCAAGTATCAAAAAAGAAGGTTTCACTTAAACTCACTGATACACGTATTTGCTAAAATTATATCACCTTGGATTTCACTTTGAAAATGTTTTGCGCATTGATAGTATGTATATATCTATTTTATGGTATCTATATATGGATGTAGCAGATTCGTGTGAGTGGGAAACGTAAGGTTCCATAAGCGACACTAAAATGGCTTCACTATGAACCAATCAAAAAGCGAGAATACGAACACCAACCAATCAAACAACGTGAATCCTCAATCCATTTGAGTGTCACAATTGTGCACGTTTTAAACTCCAAATGAGTCTGATCCATTTTCATTTTACTTTAAGATAAATTTCAAATATGCATTAATTATTGATGCTAATGATTATACTATGAAAGTCGCGTAGCACTTGTATATACTGTACTCGAATTATTAAAAAATGTTCTATTGTAGTAATACGATGTACAACAGCATGCACATACACAAAGGTGTCCAGTAATTGATTTAAATTTCGTATGACTGCGAAACGACTTTGCACGGTTACGTGACTGAATTAACGACATCCTATGATCCAATCAAAGTGCGAGAGAGCACTGGTCATCCAATCAAAATGCTCAAATATACGGTACATTCGTACCGTAAACTTTCCACACTTTTGATTCACGAAGCATGTACGTTTGTAGACACGCTCAAATTTTTCTCGCGCTGGGAACGCAGTTTAAGATATTTGTTGTATTAATAGTGCAAAAAGGACTTGGCGGTTATACTGTCTACAACAAGTAAAATGTTGCAGAAAGTTCAAATACTTCGACTACTCTTTGCTACAAAACGTTTTTACACAAACAAAACCTAAAACTTTTAAAATTGACAGCGCGCGAAAAAATTGCCGCGTGTATCTGTTTTCAAGACCAAGCGAAAGGAAAACTAAGTTAGCATTCTTTCGAGGTATTTTGTTCAAAACGAAGGTCAAGCGCGAGTGTTCTTAAGGCTGTCGTTTCAGTGGCTTTTAGAGAGAAATTATTCGCGCGTGGTGCATAGGGATGTGAGTAAAATTTAGGGACGCTGTTGCCCCTAAATTTAACCCCACAGATATCCCAAAACCGGTTGCGCAAAACACCGCGTTATGCAATTACAATGTTTGTAAAGTAAACTTGTAAAGAATGGCGCGATTCACTTAACTATATTCTTTGTATTCATATGTGCATGTACATGGCAACCACTACAAGGCTGCATACGTAGATGAGAAATAAATTATTATAAAGTAACTCAAAAGCCATTGGATTCTAGTCAAAGAAAGAGGAATACGTTTTATATCGGCAAGCCGGGTTAAAACCATCGGCCAAATACTCTTGGATATAGGTTTGAATTTAGCTTCTATGTTGAAACAAAAACCAGACGAATCAAGGGTGGTGTAGCGGTAATGGACTCAGCATCACATCTGAGTAGAGTTTAAGGCCCCGTCCACACGTATCCGGAAATTTTTGCATCCGCAAATTTTTTTTTGCGGATACGGGTTGCGTCCACACGTGTCCGAAAATTTTTATGTCCGTATCCGCAAATTTTACGAAAACGGACACGTGTGGACGGTGAAAACGATTCGAATACGCTGCGTGTGGACGCAAACATTTTCGTATCGCCAAAAAATAATTTGCGGATACAAAAATTTGCGGATACGTGTGGACGGGGCCTAAGACCCGTCCACAAGGATACGTTCGTAAACGCATAATTTTGTACACGAAACAGTAAACAGTCATCGTTTACGAATCGTTTTCACCCGACCACACGTATCCACTTTGAAGAGCGTTTTCTTTAAAGTATGCGCAGTTTACGGTGAGCGTTTACGTGTGGACGGAAGGGCTAAACGCAGCAAAAAAGTATGCGGCGTTTACGAATGAAAACCTATACGTGTGGACGGGGTCTATAAGGGCCATGCTTACTCGGCAGCCATAAAACCTTTGTTTATGGAGCATAGATTTATTCTCAAGCACTTGAATACGAGGCTGCGCTTGGAAAAATCTATTGTTTCAGTCAACATGGCTACCGCGTGCATGAGCAAGGACCATTCAGTCTATTAATTGACTTGATCGTTTTTCCTCGGGTTTTTCTTTCATCCCTCCTCGGAGTTGGTCGTGCACCTCCCTGCCTGACTGCATCAGACTTAACGCTAAACTCTAACCGCTAGGAATCATGCCCAGAAACAGGCCCGCAAACACGGAGAAACACTTGCATAAATGAAATTCAATATGATGACTCTCCCAGCAACAACTTCGTTATGACGTCTTGCTAAATGTTAAATGTTTGACGGAAAACGCCTGACGTCGAACTACAGTTTGAGGTTCGTGGTACGAGCAATAACTTTAAGATTAAGACTTTTTTTCTTCCTGCAAACGTGAGCACGTTTTCATCGTTTTTCTGTATTTTACTTTACCTTTTGCAAACTTTCTCACTACACACAAATGTTTTTTTGTCTTTCTACTATACTCGGATTTTTTTTTGCGATTCCTATTCAGAAATTTAAGATAATTTTTCACTGCTCAACTGACGTTTCACGTTTGCCGTGAACGTACGTAAATATAAAAACTCTCTAACGTCGTGCTAAAGGTCTTTAATATGATTATTATCATCAGCTGCTAAGTAACGACAATAAATTCGGTCTGTACGCAGGCTGCTACGAGTGTCGGCTGCTACTAATCAGCTGGGAATTGTGTCGACGCTGGCCAAATATCCGCGGGCGCTTTGAAAAATTTGGTGACTTCAATGTGTTGTACTCTTTTGGAAGCAAGCGTACTGACATGTGGTATTTGGCAATATTCTAGTTTAAAAAAACTACTATGTGGATTATCTTGGGCGGCAAGAGATGCTTATTATGTAAAAATACTGAATGAAGTTTTAGTGAAGCTTGAATCTAGTCGTTTACAAGGAAATATCCTCTTTTCTATGCGTGGCTTGAGTTCAATGGCTGGAAGAGATATGCTCTCGCGTACAGTACGAGGAATAAAGGATTCATTCGCAAAAACGAAGAGTTTAATAGCATATTGAAGAAATGCAGATGTCTGTGGAGGACTACAACTACAAAATCAATGCATCTTACTGGATTTAAGACACTTTCCATTCAGCTAAATCAGTTGCCAAAAGCTAATGAAAGAAGAACTTTGAAGAACTGTTGGAAGAAATTTGCCGTTGTATTATGTAAATTAAATGGTGAATTTTTAGCCAACTTTGACGTTTTCTGGTTAGGCCATAACCAAAAAACGCTCTCTTATGTCGACCGAAGGTGAGTTAACGAACAGTTACAAAGTTTTGAAGGCCTATGAAAATATATATCGAAATTCTTTACAGAAAAAAATAGCTCCAACAATTTAAAATATGTGTGCATTTGTTGGTTCATGTTTACATTTACATGTAATGGTGTGCAATTTTAATCGGCTCAAAAAAATTTTTTTTCCCTTTTCTGAATACTTTAGTTTACCTTCTTAAAACTTACTATTGTATTCATATATTTCTCTCAAAATTTTATCGATAATTAGTATAGGTAATAGGACTTTATGCTGTCCAATTTGGAAATAAAAAATTGGATGAAAAAAAATTCCGAGGACTAACAAAATTGGAAGAGGCCGATAGGCCGAGTCAAATTTGCTAGTCAGAGGAATTTTTTGAATTCAATAATTTCCTGAAATTGTACAGACATGTAGTCCTTATATTGCAGATTTATTGATATCATCCCAAACTAAACTACACTGAATCCATAAGGATGGCGACCATGGCGACAAAAGAGTAAAAAAGAAATGATTCAACCCCTGACCGAGAAAATCGATAATGTCGACGAAAAGATGCCCGAGCTTTAATCGACTGTTGTTTTTCCGCCGACTCCAAAATGAAGCATCAGTTCCCTGAAAAGGTATGTAGTTTAACAATTACAATTACATGACTTGGTTTTGCGTCATGGCTGTAAACGTGTGTGTTTAAATCTGGTGCGCAAATTTCAATAAGCATGCGCACACACGATAAACTGCTGTACAAGAATAATGATGCACATGGGTATTATTAGAGATGCGCGCAAAATGCCGGTAAGCATGCGCACACACGATAAACTGCTGTACAAGAATAATTATGCGCAAGGATATTATTAGAGATACGCACAAAATGGTAAGCATGCGCATACACGATTAACTGCTGTACAAGAATAATTATGCACAAGGATATTATTAGA